CGTCGCCGGCATCCTGATTTCCAGGGCCTCCCGCAGTTTGGGTTCATGGATGTTCTCCCGAAGATGATATAGTATCATCTGGTCGGTGACGGTAGGGACTTGGGACTTCATGAACATCATCGCGTCGTAGTATTGTTCCGGCGTTTCTTCGCCGAAACGGAATATCCGCTTGTTTATTCGGGATATCATGTTCACTTCCTTGTTCTTGTCCGCAAATCGCTGTTCAAATTTGGTCAGCCATAAGTTGACTGGCCAGCCGCCAATTGGTTCTCCAGCGGCTTCGAGGGTATGCCAATGCTCCGCTTCGGCCATCTAGTTAGGCCACCAAGTCGGCCATGAAGGTCTGATCGTCTTCGTACCATTGTTGGGCTTGACGATACAGGCTTCGAATCTGCTTAAGCCACCCATGAAGTTTGGTGTGGTCTCCGTCGAACGGCGGTAAAGGTTGTCGACGTCCGTGGGTCATTGCGCGGATCAAGGCAACGTGCGCTGGATCCTGTGCCAGAGAATCGGTTGCCGCCGGCGCAGCTTGTTGTGCAGCCGGGGCGGGTGGTGGGTTAGCATTTGGCATGTGACCTTGTTGGTCTTCGTACGCCTCCTGTTGGTAGGCTTCATCGTAATGGCCGTTGTATCCGTCCTGTTGCGGATACCGAGCCTGGTCTGCGTGACGAGGCTGTTGTGGCTGTCCTCCGTACTGATTCTGCGGTGGAGGTGGCGCTCGATTTTGTCTCGGCGCCGACGGATAGAATCCACTTGGCTGATCGTGAACTCTTCCGTACCGGTCGGGCTGTGTCCCTGAGCCGGCATCCGACTTTGTGTAGGTCGGTATGGAGGTCTCCGACCTTGTTGGTCGGAGCTATCTTCTCCATTTCTTCCGTCCTGCTGCTGGTCAGCCGTGTTGAATGACCGAGCTCGCCCGCGCTCGGAGTCGAACTGCGGGTTTTGACGGAGCAGGTTCGGATTGGAATTCGTCCGTGGTGGGCGATATGCCTCCATGCCAGGTCGCGGTGGCTGGATTGGGAGACGTTCAGCGTCCGTTGTCCGATCTCCTCTGGCATTGGGTACCGGCGCGTACATTGTTGTGCGCGTCGCGTACGAGGTGCTAGTGTATGCACCGGCCGACATTGTTGTCGCCACGTTCGTCGTTGGCACTCGTGGTGCCGCGGTCGACGTGTTGTGTTCCGGTTCCGGAGCACTCGGTATTGTTGGAGGCTGTGGGATTGTTCCCACGCTCGGGTCGGTTGTTACGACTCCGACGAAGTAGGAGGTGTTGTTCTCCTTCTTCGCCATTTCTTGGGTCGGGTTGATTCCCCACAGGATGTCACTGATTGTTCGTGACGGCTGTTGATCCTGTGCTATGGACGTCCGGTATGAAGGAGGTTCAACCCGACTATGTTCCTGGTATGGGGGAAGTTCGACCTGGCTTTGTTCCAGGTGTTTCTTTTCCTCCCTCAGACATCTTGTTTCGATGTCCATTTCGTCCATTTGCCGCATCATATCTGTGAGATTACGGGCAGCCTGTTCGCCGAAGTCGTACAGTTCGACTTCACGGGCCTCCAGGTAAAGGATGCGACTGTGTTGCGCCTCGTGTACCTTTTGGGCCTCGTTCAGGTTGTGCTCCAGTTGTGCTCGGAGTTTCTGTTCCTCCTTGAGGACCTTGTTCAGTCCGTGGACCTGGTCGGCTAGCTGGGCGTTTGCTTCCACCAGGTCGACATCGGCTGTCCTTTGGTTAGGAAAGCCCATGTCCCGAGCATTCTCGTCAATGAACCGACGTCCCATTCTGACGAAAAGGAGTTCTATCTCCGACTCGAGTTCGTCGACTCGTTGTGTCAGTCGGTCGATCTCGTTATCGGCCTTCTTTAGCTCCACCACGTATCTATCGACTTCGTTTCGGTAGACCTCGGCTTCTTCGTTGGCCGTGTTGAGTTGCTGGTGGAACGCTCCGGCTGCTTGTTCCGACTCTATTAGTGCCGTTTGTACATCGGCCAAGTCCTTCTGTGCGTCCTCGAGCGCTTTGTTCGCTTCGGCGAGTTCTCGGTTCAACTCGTGGACTGCATCCATAGATCGGTCCAGCATGCCTTTGAGTGTAGTTACTTCATCGATGTCGTGTCGACACGGTTGGTCGGTACGCTTCAATATGGCATTTAGCCGGTCGATTTCCCGTTGTTGGGTGGCGATGCCTTTGTTGGCGTCGGCCATTTCGCGTTCCCATTTGCTTCGTTCGAGCCGATGGGTATCTTCCGAGTTTCGGAGCGATTTTCCCGCAGAGTCAACGATTTTGTCTGCCAAAGCGATCTGGGTGACCAATCTACGGCATCTCGAGCGGAGTAGGTCGACGTCTACGATACTTTCGGGCGGTGTTGCCGCTACCCACTTCTTGGCCGTTTGTCCGAGTGCACTGGCTTGGTGAGTAAAGTCGTTCTTGTTGGACTTCGGTGACGTCGCAAAGAATCCGTCCGCACTACTCGGCCTTGACGCGGTTGTTGCGTCGAAGACTTCATTTGTTGGTGACGGAGTGCTACCAAGTTCGCCTACTTCGAACATTGGTGGTGACGATCTAAGCGTCGGGCCGACAGGTCGACTTTGTGTCGCCTTCACCGTTTGTTGAGCTTCCGTTGCTCGAGTCGACTCGCGTCCGGTTGGCGAAGGTCGGCTCAACGGTGAGATAACCCGTTCATTGGGTGCTGGTATGCTGCTCGGCGATCCAGTTGAGCGAGGGCCGCTTCGTGGCGGTATCTCGGAATCTTCCGTTCCACTTGGTGGTTTAGTTGATTGGACGGCTGCATCCGACTTTGTGTCGGTTAGTTGCCGTTCCAGGCTAGTCGGTTGCTTGTTGCCGACTTCCTTCTGTGGATCCGCCGTGGTCGGTTCCGACTGACCGACCTTGACACTTGGTGAAGTCCTTCCGACCTGTGTGGTCGGTTGGACACTGCCGACTTCTGTTGTCGGCTTTTCCATTCCGGTCGAGGTCGGTTGTTCGACCTCCCGGGTTTGTGGTAGGTTGGCTTGCTGTTGGCCGACTTCCTTTGCTGAGGGCTGGTCGACCATTTGTTGGTCGGCTTCCCTAGTCGGTGATTGTTCCCGACGTCTTTGGTCGGAGATTTTCGCTCGACCTGTGTGGTCGGCGATTTCCGTCCGACTTGGTTAGTCGGTATGCCCATGTTGGACGAGGTCGGCTTCGGCACTTCTTCCGTCCTGTTGGGTGATTGCCGTCCGAGCTCGGTGGCCTTTGTGACCGTTACCGAGTCTGGAGCTCTGTGTGAGCTCGACTGTTGGTCGGCATGAGACAATGTGGTCTCGTACCTGCAGCTGTTCCACATCCCCCTTGGTCAGGTGGGACGGGGCTGTTGTGTCAGCTGGGGCTTCCAGGAATGTTTTATCCCGGGCGTCCTCGAAACTGTCATCCGAAGTTGGATTCGAGTCGGCAAGGAGGATGCGTTCGTTGCGTCTCTCCTTTGCCTCGGCCGACTTAGTCGAGTCGGTAGAGGACGGCTGACTTTTGTCTTGACCGGCGTACCGAAGTGAGTACTTCCCGGTCATGTTCGCACGCCGAGAATAGTCCGTGTTGAACTTTCTCGCGTACTGATCTTCTCGGGGATTCGACATTGTTGTCGAGTCAGGTCGGCTCTGGTGGAGCCTTTAAAGTTTAGTCAGTTAGAAAGAGAAAGTCGAACAATCTTCTGTGTGAAGATGTTCGGCAAAATCAGAAAATGTCTTTTTTGTTCAGGAACTTCCAAGGGTCAGGATCGTCCGGTGAGATGTTGTTGTTGTTGTTGATGTGTCTGTTGGTGACTCGGTACACAGGGTATTAGTATACAGTACTATGGTACAGTACAGTACGTAATAGTAGTACAATGTAGTACGTCCTATATTACTGTGCTGACCAGTGTGACGTAACAGGTTAAGTGGTCTTGCACTTCTGCCTACGTCACAGAATGCGAGCCGCGTGCAAAATTTGCAAAAAACGATGAATCACGCCTATGTTAAGCTATGGGAACTTTCCCCTGCACGCTGATTGGCTGCCTCTTAAGTACTGATAAGCGGTCGTTATGACGTCACAAGGAAGTTCGAGAATTTTCGCGCTATTTCCCGTTAGAAAAACAAATTATTTTTGCTCGGCTAGAAGGTCGATCTAGCTCGGATTTTTAAGTTTTTAACCGTTAGAAATTACTTTTAATAATTAAGAAAATTTTCTGGTGGTCGAAACACCGTTAGAAATCAAGATAAAGAGAATTTCCGACCTGTTGCCGGTTAGCCTTTGTCTGACTGTCTAGACAGGTTCGTTGACCTAGCAGGTCGGTTCTCGACCAAAAGCAAAATTCCGAGTCGGTTTCTCCGTCGAAAATTACTTTTTCACCGTTAGAAATTTTAGTTTTATGGATAGAAATTGTTTTCTACCACTAGAAAGTGAAATGCCGACCTAGTTTCGGCTAAAATCGACCTATAACCGTGACTTTACCAGTGTCGGTGTCGGTGTCGGTTCCGGTCGATTTCCTCCGTCCGAGGTCGGAAATCCGTCGTTTCCGAGCTGAAATCCGCGAGTAAAGTTGCGGGTCGCTGTTCAAAGCGAAGGTCCCCGTATGATTGGAGTAATCCTATCGCGCTGCAGACTCTCGTTCGAGTCTGATCCGTCAGTTGGGAGAAGAAAAGTCCGTGCTGTTGGGAAATGAGATTCCGCTCTTCAATGTGGAAGAGACCAAGGAACTGTGCTCACCAGCTGGGTAGGAATCACTTCAGTGATCCCCGTTTTCCTCAGCTGTAAGACGATGCGATCAATCCGATCAAAGTCAAGGGCAGAGATTGCTTCAGCAATCTATCTGACAGTGACTTTCAGGTTCCTCACAATTTCTCCGTGAATGAAGCCTTCACCGTCTCCTCAAAGGGTCCGTTGAAGGAAAACCAAACGATTCTGCTTACCATGTAACAGGCAAGCGCGAGGAGATCACGAGTGATGCTTTATTGACAAATAAAGGGAGCAATGCTGCGTAATAGCAGGAAAGCAAGAACAAAGCACTGATGGCTAAACAAGCAAGTGTATGCTAAAAGAGCTCTTGAGCGTTCGTCAAGACGTGAAAGAAGCAACTGGCGGCAAACACGTGCTGTGTGCCATCAGCTGTGTGATGATGCGCAGACTGGACTCAATCCAACGCGAGCGTACGCTGAGTCATACAGCAAGAGAGGGACGAGAGAGCAAGTATGCTCAGTGTGTGCGCCGCATATATCCGCTTCAGCGGGTATGAGTGCAGTGCAGCAGCACACGTACGTACAGCGAGAGAGGCGGTATGGCAAGCATGAGTGCAGTACGTCCATGGTGGGCCGTATGCACCAGGCGCAGTCATGTGCCTCTGACACAACGTATTGTACTCTAACTTGTATATACTGTAAATAACTGTATATATAGATATACTGTATATATACTGTAAATAACTGTATATACTGTATATATTGTAATTATGCTATTTATATTTATCCTACGCCTGTCTTGTTGTAGTAATGTAAGTAAATGGTACTATTAGCAAATCAGTTTTTAAAACTAGTAAGTTTAAGTCTAAAAATAAACTACGGCTGTTGCAGAAATTTTACGTTTTACTTCACCCGTTAACCATTTTATTACCAAAATATTTCAGAAATTAATCCTTTTTAACAAATGTACTTTGATAACTTTTCAACAAATAATACTAGCAAAGAAAATTTCTTTCAAAATAATGTAATATACTTGCCTTTAATATAATATTGGTCGGTTATAATGCAGCCACCAAAAAACCCTAAGGACAACCTGGGCCCGCGCAAAATGCCGGTTACCCAGCAGCCCTGCACCCCCGGCGCCCCCTGCCGCAGCCAGCACAGCCGCGCCGCCCCTTCCACCACCAACATGGGCGGCGCCTCCTCCAACCGCCTGCCGGGCGGCGCTCCCTCCACCGCCCAATTCTCCCAGCACGGCGCGCCTTCCTCCGCCAAACTGCGCGGCCCCACCCCGCAGCCCAGCCGCCTTGCTCCTGGTGGCGCCCCCTCCAGCGCCCACAGCCGGGGCGGATTATTAGCGCCCTCCTCCACCCACCGCACCAAGAGCAACATCTCCTACAGCAACGCCAGCTCCTACAACAGCTTCCAGGACGCCGAACCGTATGTGGATAAACAGGGCCGGCCCAAGCGCTTCGTCTGCTGTAACTGCGGGAAAGGTCGCGGCCGGTGTTTCTGCTCGAGCGTGGATGACTTCTCGGCGCTGGACGTGACCAAGTCGCAGTGGTGGCTGACGCAGGCGTCGGCCATGGCGCTGCGGGAGAAACGCCTGGCGGATGCGGAGAAGTCCAGTATGAACGCCATCCCGCGCAACGAGGCGGAGTTCAAAAAGGCGGAGCAGGCACGGTTGGCCGCCACGCCCAGTGCGGTTAGTGCGCCGGTGGTGTCCATGTCCGTGCCGGAAATGCCGCCGGTCCACGAGATGCCGACAGCGCAACCGCCCCCGCCGGATGATACGGCGCAATAACTGCCGACGAAGAAATCTTATAACTCCCTGGAAAGAAAAACTATTTCGAAAATGTTAATGATCTTATTTATTCTGAAAATGTTAATAATCTTAATAATCGATAAACTAAGATACTATAAATACGTTTACGCTGAAAAATAACAGCCAACCATTAAATTATTTTTAAATTACAGTAATTAAATTGTTTATTATGAAGTTGTGACGTTCTAGGTAGCACGTATTTAAAATTTTTTAAATTTCCTGTTAGAACAACTGAAATACATAACCTGTTTTATTTTTAAAAACTAATTTTAAATTGGAAATAAGTAATACAAAGTGCTGGAAAAAAGTCAAATGAGATTACAAATTAATTTTAAAACTAAAAAGGTCTTTTTAATGTTTGAGAAATTGTTAATATGCATTTTAAATCTTTAAATTTTATTTAGTGTTTTAAGTTTTTTTACAAATGTCATTACGTGAATAAATCTAAAAATTTAGAATTTGTCAATTTGATTATTAATAGAGAAGCATAGAAATGACTGTAAATGCAAATAAAAAAATAAATCATCAGAACATTCTCGGTATTGAGAATATTCAGTTGAGTGACCTTCTATTTATTTGGTAACATTCTTCGATCAGCGCTGTTGAATGCCGACAACGATATTGACGTAACCTGAGTCAGAAATGGTTAATCACAGGGGTTTTATGAAAAATCACTTAACTGCATCGAAGAGTTACTCTTGTTAGTTGTATTGCATATAGAGAAAAAAACAGCATAACACAGCACATCACCATGTCACTTATACACTGATGGCAAAGCATGTCAACAAATAATCAACCGATAAACTTGCTCACCTCCGCAACATTTTTCCATCTTATGTCTAAACAGATATGTCGATTTTGCGGCACTTTACATGTAGGGGCAGTGGCGCTGTTTCACACATTTTCACTAACCAATGTCTACAGAGAAGAAATGCTTATAACAAATTACCCGTCAGAATATCACCGGCGCGATTTCCTGGTGCGGTTAGAGAAATGCCGGGGCCAAAGGATATATGCCAGATATATCAGTATGACACTCTTTTTTTACGCTGCGGTTAGCGGATTCTTACGTGAAGTTGATGGATGATGAGAGGGGTTGCGTAAAAACTGTGTGTTTATGATCTTTCCATTCAACTGCTTCTAAGGTCACGGTGAAATGCGTTATCCACAAAACAAAATTGATTGTAAAATAAATTGCTCGATTATTTCCGCAAAAAAATAAATTACAATTATTTATAAAATACCTGAATATTATTTCGTAAATAATTATTTCTGCTACGTAACGTTTTAATTATTAAATACCAGTTACTATACTATAATTTTTTATTCCGTGCAGAAGAATTAAAGCATGCGTTTAAAAAAGAAACGAATGTCAAAACTTTGCGAAAACGCCGAAACGTTCGGAGACAGCAATTGTTTACCTTTTTTAACAAGCTATGCTTTGATGAAGCACACAAAAATTCAGCCAAATAAAAAAATAAAATTATTCAAAATTTTAGAAAATTTTGATATAAATTAAAAACGTGGCGGAACAGAAATTTAGCGAGTTGTGCCATGAGAGTATTATAATATGTTATAATACAAATAAATCCAACGTTATGCAAAAGGTCGTCGAGCAACATCGGCATGTTGTACTTTTCCAATTTTAGTCAATGTGTCTGCGCCAAACATTACCAGAAAGCATTTTTGATTAACGAATTTCATATATTACACCAAACGCTAGCTCTTCCGTGCAAATACAAAGCTACATTCCATCGTCATCACTACAATTTCCGGCATTGTACATATATATGCTGTTCACACGACATAAGCTATTCGGTGAAACAGTCGCGATGTTTACACGCTGATTATGATAGCCCTGGCTGCATACATAATAAACACTGTTTAAGTACCAATGTTCAACAAGTGATTATTACAGCAGTCATAGTAATCAACACGCGCTGGCGCGTGTAACGCGCATCTGCGTATTGCACACAAATAATACGTTGAATATTTATGGAAAAAAGTATACCCCGGAAAAACAAGCACACAGGGGCTTCCTGGACAATATGCATGTGAGGAACCAAGCGTGCCATAAATTTTTCTCATTGTCAACGCCCATATTTTCGCCACAGGTCACTGCACAAAAGACATTACCGTGAATCAGATTTTTAACAGGAAAATCAACACTGTATGCCAGATTAAAGTCCAGGTAAATACCGGCACATATTTAGCGGATGTTTTAACACCCGAGCCGCTCGCAAAGCGGAACAACATAATTGCCGGTGGAATTTTTCTTTCGTGTACTATAATATAATGGTTAGGAAAATAGTTTGTCATCGTGTTGCGCTGGATTTCGAGGATATTTAATGGCTTTCTGATGTTTGTTTCGCATCCACACCTCTGTGATTTTTCAACGTGAGCTCTTTGCCGGCAATCATTTGCTCTGTCAAACGGAAAAGTGTGTGCATGAATGTGTTTTTCGCGCATCGTGTTAACAACTGTAAGCTGACAATACGGTACGCTTTTAATGAGCGCTGACACATCGTGCTGGGATCGTTGAAGGCCGATTTTGCTGCGTCATCCTTGAAGGTATGTTCACAAAGCGTAAAAGAATGAGAAAGGAAACTGTAAATTTTAGAGAGTATCTGCATAGATAAGTTAAACAGAAAGTACAGCAACTGCGCCCCGAGCTAATTTTTTAATAAAGACGAAAAGTTTACATTAAACCAAAAATGCTGAAAAATGAATTTTTGTGAATGCGTAATTCTTTTGTGTTGCATTTGTAACGAACTTCCAATTATTAGCGTAAGATAATAAAAATATTAATAAAAACGAAAATAAACAGGTATATAAAATAAAAATAATTGTATTAGAGTAGAAACATTTGTAAAAAGGTGTTAGAAAATAAAAAATAATTGCATAGTTCGGGCTAAATTATACAGTTTTTATAGGGAATAGATAATTTTAAAAAAATAAAAATTACGCTAAATATAACTGCGAAGTCCAGTAATATGATAAACTGCAACTTTCGAACACTTTGTCAGCAACTTAAAATTTATTTGAAAGAAAGAAAAAGTTGTGCATTTCAAAATTTTTTTAAGCAAAGTTAAAGACTGCATTGCAAACGTTATTTTTACTTTCAATAGTAAATTTATTGATCGAAGAAAAATAGGTCGGTATGCGCAAATGAAACCGGTGACTCAAGCATCCAGCATCCACACCGACACTCCTCTGCTCTAAAAGCACACAGTACATAGCCGCAATGAGTCATCGGCAAGGTGCATACACAGCCGACACTGTCCAGGGCGCAGCCAATGAGCAGTGTGAAACCGGTTTTGATCACCGCGTGTCGCTCTACTGTACAACGGCACACAGATGCCCCAACGGCCATGTAGCGCTATAAAGCCGATGTTGTTCCTTCTTTTGAAACTTTGACGGACACTTACATTTCTGCTCTCCCTCCCTGCTAACCATTAAATTCACTGCTAGACTTTTACTCGATGATCTACCGCTGGTTATAGCACGTTTCTCATCTACCTGTGACGATTAGCGAGAATCGACGTAAACATCAAGTTCACTGTACCGTTGTTGTACCGGCGTATGCTACCTGTCTAGGCGCATCTATCGAGCGGATTCTAATCACTAACCGGACGCCGGAATCGCCTTTCCCTGATTATTGATCGACGGGATTTTCGGGGAGCATATTGATCCTATTTAACGTGCCCGGTGATACCGTTTTTCCCACGAATTTATTTTATATATTAAACGGAATATGGAGCGATTTGGATATTTGTGCCTCGCTGTTCTTTTTGCCGCTGTTCCTTCAGGTAAAAACAAAAAATTGTTACATCCAAATCATTCAAAATATATTATTTAAAAACTAAATAATTCAGAAAACAGTTAGTGTTTTTCCAAAAACTTTTCAAATTTATATATTTTTTCTTTCGAAAAAATTTCGTTAGGATTGAGCAGAGATTGAATCTCATATAACAAAACTTTTTAAACTAGGTTTTCCGTTTTGAGCAGACGAAAACACAATCAAGGTTAGCATAATAAGCGCTCGAACGGCGACAGTTGTTAAAAACCGGCTTGTCATCGACTCGTCGCTGTATTCGTTACTGTTATAAGGTTCAATGAAACGTTGAGAAGCGCTTCTTGCTCTACTAGTCTGGCTGCGAAAAATTCTTTTCCTTTTCATAACACACATACAGCAAAAACTTTATCGCTTTATTGCAACAATGCTGGAAAATTGGAGAATGCTTATTCACATAAATATGCGGATATAACGAATGTCCGCACTGCTTATTATGGCGAAACAGTTCGTTAACCTTTTCGAGGGGATCTGTTATTGATTATCGATTTGTTATCAAGAGATTCACCGGTGATGTATCTGGGTCATTAACGTCGCTGGTAGATCAATAATAAACCAAATGTATGCCAAATGAGAGGACGCTCTTCAAAATCCCAAACTTTATTTTTGAAGCGCCGGTTAATGTCCTATTATAATAATACGAAAACGTACACGCGATACATCCCGTACTTGATTTTTCTATTCACATATGTTCTTAATTTTAGACTTGTTGTTATTGAAATACAATCATCTATGGAGAATATTATTCGTATTCGCATGTTGAATTTTTTTTATTGGCCATAAAATGGACGGTGTCGTATTTTTGCAGTTCTGTCACGCAAATGCTACGTGTGCGATTCACAGCAGAATCCGAGCTGTGCGGATGGCTACCAGACCGGGAGTATGAGTTATCAAGATTGCTCAACATACGGCAGCGGTGGTTTTGGTCAGTTCGGACAGCAAGGAGGACAATTCGGTCAGGGCGGCCAGGCCGGACAATTCGGACAAGGGGGCCAATTCCCGCAGCAGCAATTCGGTTATGGCGACATGAACCGCTGCTTTAAGCTGACCAGGGTTAATCCGGCCGGTGGTCCCGGTATGTAGCTAAAATTTAATAACAAACATGCAATAAATTGAATTCTTTCAACGTTATATAATGCCGGCTTTGCATAACGGTTGCAGTTTTAATGTAGCACTCATGCGCAACCGGTGATATTGTTTGGTACCTCCACTTCATATGCTTTTTTGGCATGTGTTTATGTTTTTAGTTTATTTTTTATATACTCGTACTATTTTCTTGCAAAACGTGCGATTACTGATTTATGTAAAGCCAAGATTATTTGTTAGAAACAGATCTAACAAAACGTACTTTACTAGAAAAAAGCACTTTGCTAGAGTAGAAAAAGTACTTTACTCTCCTTTAAAATGGAGACAGTATACTACCTTATTGATTCACTTTTTATTGCGAGCGTTTAAGTTGGGCTCTATTAATTTTGAAAATATTTATTTGATTTACCGAAAATAGGTTAAACCGTGTAAGTAGCAACCCGCTTTATGGATAGGTTTTTTTAACGGTCGCAGTGATTTCCGTCCTTTAAAGATAATTCCGTAAAAACTAATCACCATAAATCATTCGGCAGCTGCCGTGAAAGCTTAATTAAACCTTCGATAATTTCGCCTATCGTCAGGATATTTTGACACGCGATACCATCTTTCGACGGTGTAATAAGCCGGTATAATTGCGGTCTATTTTCCCCGCGCGATGACCGCTACAAAGAACCCAGCCGAACATGTAAGTACACTGACCATATTCCGACAAATTAGTGTTGCTGCGCTTCTCGCCAGTCGAAGCACGTGGGAAATATACCGTTCGCGGCAGAGAACCGGTTTTCTCCCGGCTTAAGCGTCTTACCAATTTCCACAACCCGGCTAAACCGGTTTTTTGTATGGACGAATCATAATCGCCGTACTCGTACAGCCTGCGACTTTAACTTGCGCACTGCACAGCGTATCCAAATATGCATCGATAAACAGGGGGAGTTAAACGCGTGATATGTTGTTGAAAAATTGTTCGACGAGAAGAATTTGCATGTGAGGGAAATTATTATGCAGGTGGATAATCCGCCGATGTTGAGATGCTTTTGCCGTTGAAGTGGCGTTGTCAAACCGTCTGAATCGACATCTGTGAATACCTGTATGGGGACAAGTGCGGCAAATCGTGCTGAGTCCAGCAGTGCTGATGTCAGGGAAAACTAATCAGTAAAGTCTATAATGTCAATACAAACAACCAACAATTAGCTTGTCAGGATGTGTGCAGTGGACATGAGGTTGGCGTTTTTCTCCCCACTGTCAAGTAGTGCTGTAATCTGTAGTGCCACCGCTCTAATGAGTGTGTAATTTTAATCGGCACTTCAAACAATGTTACAATAATATTATCAAATTAAGTGCCAATTGGCAAACTACGCTATAAAACGTTATAAATCTGCAGATAATTTCAGTTTTATTTAATCTGGTTAAATTGACCCAAGATGCAGCTAATTTTAAAAACTTCTGTCAATGCAACAGCTTGACAATTAACCATATGCATGCCTAGTTTCGTACGAGGTTTTCGGATGAAATTTATATGGGCTTAGAAGAAACTCGAAAACGAACCGTAAGCTTTATTTTATGGTAAGCATCAGTGACTCAGTAATCAATTAATACTCGTATCATTAACCCTGGTTTCACGACAAAGACGTTTTGGCGGGAAACCAATGTTCATATACCGGCTGCATATGAAAGACGTCCATCGAAAAGTGGCGACAATAAATTTATTTGCACTCACGTTGATTTAGTTCCCTGAATATTAAAGTCAACGCCTAACTGAAAATGATACGATGTAAACCAAAATTTAATTTTAATGGATATATTATATAACTAACCTGGTTTCGTTGCAGTTAGCATTACTGGTGCGGCGAATTAGGTTTATTAAACATTTTGCAAAGGAATAATTTCAAGTTTTCTTGTAGCTATCATCACACGAGGCTGCGGTAGTGGAATGCAGATGCAGGGACCCTCGTACGGAGCCACCAGTGACGGATGCGTATGGAACGGTCTACAACAGAGCTGCAGTTGCGACAGTAACTACTGCAACGGCTCAGCCCGCTTCACACCCACCCGCTTCACCGCCCTCCTTATCGGCCTCTTAAGCGTGTGCGCTGGTGTCCTCTACCGACACAGTCTATGAGATACTTGTTAGAAAACACTGAAAAGTGGAGTCTGCACGTGGGCCAAATACATTTATATTCAAAAAAGCTGTAAAGTGAGGAAACGGGAATCTGATATCTGTGGTAAAATTGTACGAATGCTGCGGACGGTGTGTGTGCGCGCCATGAAGTTATGCAAAACTGGATTCAAGTATTTTTCCACAAAATATGTGTATTTTGTTATTTGTTCGGTGTGTCGTCGTCTTTCTCGTATATTTTTACTGTACATGTGTGCTTATCCCTGCTGCTTGTCTGGTTTCTCTGCTTGAACTGCTTCTATACGGTTTACGACCCTGTTGACCTTTAGAAATGTGGAGTTGGTGGGATAATTCTGCTGTTATTATTTTGTTACAGTTTTAATTACCGGTTGTTTAGTTGGTTGAAATGTTACTTATTCGCTACGTCGCCGTAATAATCAGTCGACATGGTTAAGTGTGATTGGAAGCCTTCGCGGAAACAATGTTTATTACTTTAAAGAAGCTCCGATTGGCTCTGTCTGTTCATTAGCAATTTGTTTGGTATCCTAAATTTTGGTAGCATTTTGTTGCGGTATGCCGTGGCACTGTACTTATTTGTAAGATAGGAATTAAAATGTTGCATAAATAACCGCATTCTTTTGATGAAGTAGCTAAACCTTCTGTCACCGTGACAAAATAATAAGTAACGTGCCAAAGTAGACAAAAAGAGAAACTTTTTTACGAGTACTTAACAGCGACGAAAACTTGTGACAATAATATAACAATAGTATTGTCTCATTATGTATATTGCCATAATATTATATGCATACGACGCCATACGGAACGCACAACTTCCGCCATACACAGAGTTAAGTTTCTTCACGTAGTTAGTTTACAAAGTTAATTGCTTTAATGTACTGTGTTAATGCACTACCCACACTACAATAATACCTACTTAAAAAAACAAAACTTAAACTTTACAAACTTTAAGAAAACAGTTCCGCAAAAAAATGGGCCAACACGTACAATATTGTACTTGTACTTGTACAGCTGTACTTATCGTATTTATTGAGTACAGTACATGAATGTACTACTTATTAAAGTCGCAGCTAAATGTGGTACGAGTTTATTTAATGACATTGTGTTACAGGATGTTTAATGACATACTCGTATGTTTAATGACATTGTGTTACATGAATACAATAAAACCATACGGTTGTCATGGTTACATGGACAACGTACTGCTTAAATGCGTACTCTGTACAGCAGCGTCTGCAGGACTAAAGGAAAGGACAACGCTGTATGTTTATGCAACAACAACAACAGCGTTTGCAGGGGCTTGCGTCAGGCGTTTTTGGGATATTCTGGAATCGCTGGATTGATGGACCTAATATTGACTGCCTTAAATTCATAGCCTATTACATGCGCCCCGGCCGCGGGAACCTCGCCGCATCCCTTGCGTACAGTAAGTGTTGACTGTACTGGTCGTTCGTCCGTATAATGACATTCTTGGTGTTACGACTGCTGTTTGAACCGTATTAAATGAACTACTGGAAATAAGAACAGGAGAATAAAGGATCTGAAGACTACCCACTGGACTCCAGAATTATGCCTAACCGACCGAAATCTGTAAGTAAATTATATGTAAGCACCCTTTTCGTGGTCGCAACCCGTGTTTTATAGACATCATTTTCTACTAGAAAGGAAACACCCTGTTAACGTCCTTTGTATGTATGCATTTTACTATTTCTATAGGTACCCTTTTTTAATGTTGCACTCGCATACAGACACAATCAGGCTATCGGAAAGTGAGGCTAATTTGCAAACTTAGATCTAATGAAGATGGCATCGTCGACAGTAATTTTAATGTTTTGTTCCACAATCGTAATTTTGTTTGCCGGTTATCTGCCGGTTCTTTTCGGACACCGGGTGACCTCTTCTTTATCCAGCGCCTCTGCTAACCATTTCCGGTGCGCTTCGCCTTTTTCAGTAGCAGTACCTTCTGGGGCCACGCCAGCGATGATTTCGGCCAGGAAAGCACAAATTAGCGGGCCGTAATGATTCGATCCAGCATTCTGAAGTTGCACAACATGAAACATAAGGTCGAAGTAGGTGACCTCGCCTCCGTATAACATGGCCAGCTGCAACAGTATATGCAGCGATAGCGATCATAGTTGCCGTGTATCGGTTCTGATACTACAACTGTACCGTATGCTAAAGCTCCAAATGGAGGCTTATAAAGTACCGGGTGCACAAAAGAAATCAGTTACAAAGATAAGGGTGTCTTTAATTTTAATTAACAAGTGGCGGAAAAGTGGTGCCTGTAGTAAACGGGGGTTTCGGGGTGTCTAAGAAACCTATCGCAAGTGCGAATGTACTAAAGCCTAACTGCGCTTTAGTGGCTGGTTGTGCGCAGAAGTTCGCGTCCAGTCGCCCGCAAAGGCACTTGTGGTTTGTTCAATTCGGTACCCGAATGTTCCGGGATCGTGCTGCCCTTCATCATCTTTGGATTCAGATGAGGATCTAAGCGGATACACATCATACCACCCTGCAGCATTGCCCATAGTTCTAAACGCCACCGCCGTCCATGACAATTTCCGAGTGCAGTTTGTGTCAGATACGACATCGATACTGGATGCAGGCAGGAAACTCTTACTCGTAGTTAAAGGCAGTAGAAAAACTGAAAGGTTCTTGCTGTCGATACAATTAATAATTACTGAAAGTACGGCAACTTAAGTTGTGTACAGTTCAGTTTTAGAGCAGAAGAAACAGAGCGTGAACATGCTCCAGTAAAGTTGTTTCTTCGCAAGTGACAACCACTGACAAGTAAGACCCATCGAGAACTTTTTAGTAATCCGTGCGAAACTGATCGCTCCTCTCAGGGAGGGCGGCCATGATTTCCTCCAAGCTGTCGGGCAGTTGGAAACATTCCAACCGACCGTATTCATCAGCAGCGACCGTGAGGAGTAACGCAGGGGGTGGTGACGCCGGCGACATGTTTGGGTCCATTTCAAGCAAACATTCAAAAACCCACTGGCTAAGTCGTAAATGGGCGGCATTTTCTTCCTGCATGATCGGTCATCATCCGAGCACATCTGTGTGTTTTATAGGTGAGCGGTATCACCAGCATTCTTTCGTCAAATCCCTGCCCTTCGATACTAATATACTAGTCACGAATTTGTAGATGGTGACAGGGTGCACTTTCACCGCTGGGGATGCGGTAACCATACCCACACGAACAGCCTCCCACTTTCTCCACCTGTTTCATTTTACGCTTTTGGGCGGCACGGTTTAGTGCGTCGTCGTCCTTCCACAATGGTAGGTGGTAATCCTCATGGGTTTCGTCAGCTTCCGGAATGTTGGTTATACTTAGGTCAATCAGTTCGCATACGTCCATCAGATACCGACCGTCCCAGCTTCCAGAGACGGAAATCCGGCCATTCCGACGGATCAGGACTGAATTCGCCAATCAAAGTATGCCACAGACTGAGCACCCATTTAGACGGCGCAACGTCTCCAGATTCCAAGCCATCCAACAGGCCCTTTAGTCGCTGCCAGGTGAACCACAGAAATCCCGGAAATCGATAGCCGAAATCTGCTTTTGTTCGGATTTTCATCCGTTAAACACTTCAAGGAAAAAATACCAGTGAACATTTTAGCATTTCGCGCTAGCCTGAAATCGTCAGAAACTTTACTCTCACTGAATTTTTATTTCGAAGTCGTTTAGGAAAATTACCCCCAAAAACGATTGAGTCGTTAGGTGTGTACACAGCGTTAGCTTTATTCTTTTGTAGTGCACAATTCATGTACAACCGTAGTTTTATGTTATACTTATATAGCCGCTGCCTTGTCGTAATAACTTCGTAAATTCCTTCGTTGTATTATTATACAACGAACGAAGTTGCGCGAAGTTATTACGATACTACCATTTGCATGATACGCATTGTCTGTTGCATTGAGTCTTCGTTGTTGGCTGCGATACCTTGAGTACCATAGTGCTGTTACTCTTCCATTTCCTCCATTGTTTTAATACCTGCTTTCAGTTTTTCGAAGTCGAAACGTTGAAACGTGAAATGCGAATATAATGTTTTTCGATCAGTTAATTTTTCATTTGTCTGTTCAGCAAATGTGGCTTCTGATTATCAGGGCAGGGGATTTTTTATTCTTTTGCGCTGATATTCCGCTCACTTTTCCTGGCTGATAATGTGATTTGCCAAGGTCGGCACGTCAGCCAACCTGGTGTTTTAACAGAAGAGCAATTAATTCTTCTTACTCTTGGACGGTTTGGTCTAGGACGTGGCTTGCAAATGCCTGTAAAACGCTGTCTAAAGACTCACAAAAAATTCGGAAATGGTACACATGTGCTGCTGTCCATAAATATAATTGCTTGTTGGTTTACACACAGCAGTTCGTTGCGGACAATAAAAGTTTTCAGATGCTCCGCATCACAAGGACTGTTCCTGCCTGCAGCCGTGATTTGAAGAAAAGCCACCGCTCCGTTATTGTCGAAATCGACATACACCGCATCGAATGCATATTCTCGCTCGTCGGGTGGAAGGGACTTCAGGGACTAACGTATGTCTTGTAAGTGTACGAAACTTCCTGGTTTCAACCGATTTCGACTTACTGGGTAGGGCCTGGCTGGGGTAGCAGTGTAGTCGTGGAATTTGAGGGCTATAGCGATTGCGCACTGGTTATCGGCGGTGTCTTTCCTTAGGTCAATTTATGCGCCAGATTTTCGTGGACAGTGATATTGAGCAGTGCCCGGTTTTCGTAACCTTTGCCGGTTATTTCGTCGACAAAAACTGCTGGGAATTTTTGGTTGTGTGGTGGCCGCCAATGTGGTGGCTGAATATGTTCACATTGATTAGTCAGCGTCATCACGGAATGACGCAACGTTGCCAGGGAAGATAACTTGCCCTGCGTTAACGGTATTTAACGCCTGCAGCGTTAAATAGCATTAACTAGGGCGAAACTGTAACTGAAGCTCCGGCACTAGCTCCGGCACTAATGAAAGATAAATATGTAGTCATGTAAATATGTAAAAGGTAAATATGTAAACATGTAAAGATAAATACACTATATGTAAAAGGTCATGCTATCTGTGTGCTGATTATGGTTCATAAATTTGCTGCTCCAGAGTTTCGTCTGTTGATGGGTAGTCTGCAAAATATGTTGTCGTATCCGGCTTATTTTGTTCACCCAAGCACTATGATTGAAGGCTGCTGGAATGTTATGCAATTAGTTCAATACTGAGCGCTCCCGTTACATAAATGCAGTGTTACGTATACATTTGGTCATATTCGTTTTCGACTCACATAATTCAGCATTTTCATTGTAGGGATTCTGGTGGTCAATTTCTTGTATCAGCTGTTTCAAGGACCGTTGCTATCTTTTAGGAAACTTTAACGTTTTCTTGAAGCTTCGCTCATATTCCGTAATTGTAAGTCCAAAGGCAAGACATCTGTCACGCGATAGGAAATTTGGAGGGTATTTATAAATAATACGGACGTCCCTTCCTCTTATAGTAAT